ATGGCACAAGATGAGGGACAGACAGACGGCACCCACACCGGGAGATGGCACAAGATGAGGGACAGACAGACGGCACCCACACCGGGAGATGGCACCAGGGGACGGCACACGCCGAGGGATACACACAGACAGCACCGACACCAGGGGACAGCACGAGCCGAGGGAAACCATGCGGAGGAAGGACGACCCCTGCAGACACTGGGCTCTCACCCCACAGCACAAAGCTCAGAGGCAGGGATACTCATGGATCTCCCAAGGAAGGCACATTTTCTCACAGAGCTGGGACATCATCTCCCCCACTATGTACTGGAGGTAACATCATCCTGAGATGCCCAGAGGCTGACATTGGCATTGACTTCTGATGTCTCAGCCGAATACAAGTAGAAGATGGGACACACGCTGAGTCAGGGCCAGCTGCTAAGGGAGCGCGCCTGTCAGGCTGGGATGGGGGTTGCTGAGGCAGAAACGAGAGCGTGATGGCCCACTGACAGAAAGCACATGCTGTGGCTGACAGCGCGTGCTTCCTTCCCGAAGAGCCTCCAGTGAACCGAGATCGAAACCTTGGATTCCTGGTCAGAGATTCTGACGCAATGGCTCACCTGAAGCTACTCAACACTTTTTCAACAATAATTAATCGGAGTTATCACTGTAAAGAGAAGACAGTACCACTTCCCATGGTGCTTTGTATGTGGTGGGGCAAATGCATGGCATGTATACACTACAGCCTCAGGGCCTCAGTAAAAGGACGGTCCAGGAACTGCAGCGGTTAACAGCAAAGCACCCTACACTGTCACCAACAACATCCCTCTTACTCAAAGACCATCATGCCTTTATAAAGAACAGGCAAGATTCCAAAAAGGAGCCCTGGTGGTACAATGGTTAGGTGGTTTGAGTCCATCAGAGACTTTGCAGGAGAAAAGACCCAACAACCTGCTGCCATAGACATTTCAGCCTTGGAGACCCTGTGGGCAGTTCCACTCTGTCCTCCAAGAGCGCTGTGGGTCAGAATCACTCCACGGCAGTGGGTGTGGTTTGGTCTTTGCTTCCCTGAAGATTGACAGCCTGGGAGACCCTGTGGGCAGTTCCACTCTGTCCTCTAGGGGCGCTGTGGGTCAGAATGGACTCCAGGCAGTGGGTGTGGTTTGGGCTTTGCTTCTGTGAAGACTGACAGCCTGGGAGACCCTGTGGGGCAGGTCCACTCTGTCCTCTAGGGGCGCTGTGAGTCGGCATCAAGTACGTAGCACACAACAAATTCTTAAAGCCCTCTTTGTTCAAGATGGGAAAACCAGTAAGAGCAAAATTAAGAATAAATTAACCATGGAGAGAGACATGGTAGTGGCTGCAAAGCTGCAGTCTCACCTGACAGAACGCTCCGGGATAGAACGCTCCTGGGACCGTTACTCTAACTGCTGCTGTGAGGAGCCATCGACGTGGCTCTGACTCAGCAATCCCACGGACAACAGGACGAGCGCCTACCCAGTCCTGCTCCATCCTCCCCACTGCCGCTGTGCACACCCGTAACACACTGTTCAGTCCTTCACTTGTCTTGTCAGCAAGCTGGGCATTCCAAACGGGTCATTTCTGTCCTTTAAGCAATTTAAGGAGACCTGGGGAGTTGAGATTTGGCTCACAGTCTTTGTGTCCGTCCCAAGAAGTCCTTTCAAAGCCTGAGGCGGGAGCTGCCAAGTTAGTCTTTGTCCGCATTCTGGCACATCTGTCCTGCCAGCCCTTCAAGACAGCCTCTTCCACTTCCAGCTTCTCCCTCCTTGCCAGCACCCTCCTCACTGGCCTCCCACCTTTCTTTGCACCCCTCCCAACCCGCCCCTGCCAGCGGCATGCTTCTCAGCCCGGGGCCTTGCCTTGCATCTGCCGAGAACCTTCAGACGCCCTGGGTCTTTAGGGTCAGGCCCCCAGCCTGCGCCCTGGCAGCCACTCCGGCCCCCGCTCTCCCCAGCCTTCCTCCTGACGACATGCAGGAGGACCCTTCGGCAGACGCTCCTCTCTGCTGGGGGACTGGGCGGCTTCTGGGCATTCTGGCAACCCAAGCTCTGAGGTCACAAAGTCCTCCCGACGCACTCTCCACCAGGAGTTGAACCACATCTTTCTGAGCCTTCAGCTGATGAATCTGCTACTGCCCGTCATGTCACATGGCAGAAGCCACCTGTGCGGGCTCCTTGAAGTCACAGCCTGTCATCTCAGCAGAATGTCCCCGAGAAAGCAGGCCTTGGTAAATGCTCTCCAGAGGAGGCGGCCAGTTAGCGAAACTTCCGACAGCTTGTTGCAATATGTGGGAGACGGCTCTTCACGGCATGCTGCTAGGGAAGAGCCACCCGTCCCCGAGTTTCCGCTGGCTGTTCTGCCCGCGGGGCTGGGAGAGGGGCTCTAACACCATCACAGAAGAACCAGAAGCAAACATCTCACGAAAATGAGGACACGTCTGCGCTATTCCTGCCGCTCAGCACCTGCCCTTTCCTCGGATGTTGCTTTGAGGGAGCCTGCTTCCAGTTCAGTCCTTGGGCTTCTGACCATGTTGCTTTTCCCAGCTACTCCAGTCTGTGAGAGGTCCAGAGGGGGCTATGTCCAGACTAATCCAACAAAAGCAATGACACAACTCCAGCCTCTTGTTTGTAAGAGGGCCACATGCAGCATGGCATGAGGTCTGATGCTGCCCCGAGCCCAACACTGAAGCCACTGAAGTGGAAAGGGAACCACAAGGGATTTGCACTAGGCCCGGATGTGCTCAGTATGGGGACTAACCGATTTCCTTCTAGGCTGAACCAGCATGGACTGGGTTTTCTGTAGCCTCCAACACAGAGGGTCCCAAGTGACTGAAGTACTGAAAGAAACCCATGGCTGTGGCCTGCACACATGAGCACGCGTGCATGCACACACACACACATGCTGTCATGATTGTGTGCTCTGCTGTCTGGGCAGAGCAGTCAGAACCAACGATCTCCACCTTGCCCAGGGGCTGATAATCTCGGGTCAGGTCAGAAGCAAGGATCAAGGGATGTGTGACAAGAGCAGGGAGGAAAGAGGAGGAGGCAGGGGGTGTTGCAAGGCTTCTTTCCAAGAGAACAGACTGATTCCAAGGTTCTGGGGAGGGAAGGACTCTGAGCCAATGTCCAGAGCAAAAGATGGTTCCCACCCAGCCCCACAAGGCACGTGGCTGAACAGTCCTAGTCCAGGCAGGACCTATGAGGCATACAAGCACAGCAAGACTGTTTGGACAGATGCTGTTGTTGTTAGGTGCCACTGAGTTGTCTCTGACTTAGCGCGATCTCATGTACAACAGATCGCAACACTGCCCAGTCCTGTGCCAGCCTCACGATCCCTACTTAAACTGAGCTCTGGACAGGGACTAGGCAGCAAAAAACTGACACTCGTTAAAGTTAGAGATCTTTCTGGAAATAAAACGTAAATGGGTATTTTTATTATAAGGTAAAATTTAATCCCCATCCCATCAATACCGTGGCACAATGCACCTGCTTTCTGGCTTGCAGAGCAGGCCTGGCACCACGGTCCAGAAAGTAGTCAACACCAGGGCAGCCGTGTTCACTGGGTCTTCCGCTCACAACAGACCATCCCACATCAGCACAGGCTGCTTCTCAGGGTGCACCAAGTAGCAGGTGTGAAAACCGGACTGTATATCCCCCGGAAAAAAGCGCTAAGAGCGATGGCTGTGTTTCGTAGTGTACCAATAAGCCAAACAGCAGCTGTGCTGTGTCTGTAACGGCTCTGGGTCCAAGGAAGGAGCATTTTCCAAACCCTGAACTTACAGAAACAGTAATATTTTTATCAGAAATCAAGTCGTCTGATTGTAGGTCCCTATGAATTTTCCCATTGGCTTTGTGTTTATGTCTGACCTTCTCTTTTTTTGAACATCGGAGCCACCCAAGGTCCCCCCAGGGCAGGTGCTCCGGATGTTTTGGCACAATGGCCAGTCTGTTGTAGAGCTTCTCACAGGCAGTGGTTGGCTGCTGACCGAAATCATGATCAGAGACTGGGCCAAAGCAGATTGAAAAATACAATCCCAAAGACATACATGTGGACTGCAATCAAGCCTCTGACCCTCAATAAATACCAGGACAAGGGGAGAAGGAGACAAGGTAATAAAGCCACAATCTTAAATGGCATCTAAACTTC